GACAGAAGTCTGTAGTGTCTAAGGAGGTAATGCATTTAGGTCTTTTAAAGGTGCAAGGAGGGTATACAAATTTGGAAGCAGAAGAAATAAACTTGCTGCTTGGAGATAATAATACTGGAGGTTAGAAAATGAGGACATTTTAAGGAAGAGATGCACACAAATCTGGTGACTACAGCATCCCTCATGCTCAAACTGCAGTGTGTTCCAGACAACTAGAGAAGTGGCAGTACCAGCTTTAGCACCAACACTAAACTACCCGGCTCTTTTAAGCACAGAACTTAAAGGAAGAGAACCCAAGGACCCTGCAAATGCATATGGCTCAGCTACCTGTGTTTTCAGGGAGGGCAAACATGTAGCCTCCTAGGCAGCAGTCGTGGGGATGGGAGACAGCAGGACCTCACATCACGCCTCTTGCGGGAGACGCAGCGGGGACAGTGGAGAGGTGCTGCAGCTCTGGAGATGTCAAGTTTCCAGCATAGCAAATAAAGCTGAAGTGTGTAACAATGCACAAATCACTTTTTAACATAAAAAACTGCAACTGTCACGGGGACAGTAACATGGGCCACCTCTAGATTACAGCAGTGCCCTTATGTTAGACACAAGTGTGTAGATACGAAGATGAAGTTTAGATTCTACAAATTGCTTGATTATCTCCAGTACTTGGAGACAAAGATTTTGGGGTTGGTTTTTATCCAGCTGAATTACAGGGCAAAGATCTGATCCTGAAATTTAGACAATCAACACAACTATAAATCAGAAAAACCTGGGTTCAACTTCGGCTTGTGATATTTATTAACTCTATGATTTTGATTAGATAACCCACATTCTTTGTAAGCCTTAGTTTCCTCATCTTTAAAATGAGGGTCATAATACCGCTTTCACAGGACTTTTGGAGGAATTAAATGATATTAGCTTGTTGCAAAAATAATTCAGGCTTTTTAACAGCATGTGCATGGTAGTGTTCAGTACGGTATTTGCACTAAGTAAACGCTCAATAAACATTTGCTGGGCAGTAAATATGCTCACGCTGAGGAGATTATCAATGTTTACACTCTGAATGCTAAAATAAGTTCCATATCTCTCATGCACAGGGGGCTTGCAGGTATGAGACCATGGGCCACAGGTGCCAGATCTCTGGAACCTCTGGAGGAAGAACTGGTTCTTTATTTAGATACCACGACTTCTAGCTTCCTATTGTAAGGAGGCTTCAGGAACACTGAAACCAGCTTTAAGGTACTTGAGAAAAAGGCCAAAAATGTCATTAAAAAGATGGGAAAAATGACTGGTAGGGATACATGAATGGCCTTAAACAGAGAAGTATGAGATTCTTCATTTGATTCTAGTCTGTGGAAGTTTGCACTGAGAAGACTGCTAAACCAGATGTAGTTTTAATACAAAACAAAATATGCTACGGGTAAAGTTGGATTAGATATAAGTAAGAACTTGCTGACAGGAAGGGATATGAGATAACTGAACATGTATGAAACATTCACCTGGAAATATGAAGGATGAACAAAGATTAAAGACCACAGTTACAAGTTTTTCAAAAGTAACTAGCCACAAAATTCTATTCTCACACAATATTCACAGTGGCTTCATTCAAATTCACCAAACATTTTCAGAATTTTCTCACTTTTCCCATCATAATAGTGATGCCTTTTCACAAAATAGAACAAAACAAAACAAAAAAACAACAAAAACTCAGAATGTGAAAAGAATAGAACGTCAAAGGAAATTCAATTGTGAGCCCCTCATGGCATGAGCTATATTGGGGTTTGCTAAGTCTTCATTCACCAGACTTTACCCAGCCAACTGGAGTTGGGTGTAGTCAGGGAACGTCAGGGATAGGAATGGAAAGGTGAGGAAAATGCCTGGGCAACACAGCGAGACCCCAACTTAATCAAAAAATTAAAAAAATTAGCTAAGCCTGCAGTCCTAGCTACCTGGGAGGCTGAGGTGGGAGGATGGCTTGAGCCCAGGAGATTACAGGGAGCCATGACTGCAGCACCTCTACACTCCAGCCTGGGCGACAGAACAAGATCCCATCTCATTGATATTTCACATTTTGACATTTTATGCTCCATATGCGAAAAATAAATGATAAAGAAATCTCACAGCCTCTGCTCTGACCTCTAAAATGACCCCTGTCTTCGCCATGTCTACCATACACCAGGAGCTTGCTTCCTTTGCATTTAACTTTTCTGTCTTAGCTCTCCCAGGACCTTGAATGCATGAAATACCCCTTCTGCGATCATTCTCTAACTCTCAGAACATGTCTTCCTTTATCTGGTCTAGCCCAAACCCTTGAATATTCAGAGTTATTCAAACTTCAGGTAAACTTTTTCCTACCCCTTTTATATAAGGATCTCAATCTTTTTTGAATTTATCCTAACTCGTCTATACTTTTATGCTCATACTGAATAATTTCTTGTGTTCTGAAGCCAACTTGTCATGTAAATGACTTCAAGGGGAAGAGGTCATTAATGATCACAGACTAGCTAGTTTTTGGATCTTCTCATATTTTTTTTAAAACCACTTAGAAGATCAGCAAAGGGAAGCCCAAAAGAAGAAGGAAAATGAAGGCCTAATTAGTGACATCCAGAGGTGACAGAATAAAACTGAAGAGACTATACTTTCAAGTGTAAAGGTACTGGGAAGGGAAATGTTTATTTCTTTAGTAAATATTTAATGAGTAGCTACTATGTCCAAGCCCTGTATAAACTGCTGGGGACACAAAGCTAGTTTTGGTCCTTAAAGAACTCATAGTCTACACAGAGTTTCTCAAGCTTGGTAATACTGGTATTTTGGGAGGGTAATTCATGTTTGGCATGGGGACTGTCCTGTGTAGCTACAGGATGTTTAGCAGCATCCCTGGCCTGCACCCACTAGATGCCAGTAGGCATCCCATATCCCATTCCCAGTTGTGATAACCAAAAATATCTCCAGATAATGCCAAATGTCACCTGGGGGACAAAGTGTGCCTTGGTTGACAACCACTAGTTTAGGGAAAGCAGATCATTTATATAACACACTGTGGTAAGTATTATTATTAAAACTTTGACAGTTAGAGGACTCCTTAATTCTGGGGGAAAGAGAGTAGATGCTATAGAAGGTTTCATAGGATAAATGACATGTTATGCCCAGTATATGAAAACTGTTTGGCAGTAGGCCAAGCAGACAAGAAGAGGGAAGGTTAGGGACACAGGGAAGGAGTACAGAAGAGTAAGTAGAGAAGGACCATTTGAAAGCAGATACAGGAAGATGAGCAAAGGCCTGGGAGTAAAAGACCACAGAATATTCAGGCAATGATGGCTACTTTACATGGAGGAAAATAGAAAATAAGATTGAGACTAGATCATGCCAGGTAAGAAATTTTTTAATATAAAGAAATCAATGTATATTTTAAACAGAATGGAGCCCTTTTTCAAACAAAGCCTTACCTAGATCCCCAGTACATTAAACTGATCTAAGTGGAACCTCTTCGGTTGGGTCATGGTCCACTCAGTTTTTCCTTAGCTTCTAAGTTGGCTTCAGAAGCACTTCTGCGGTACCCTAGAACTCTAGGACACATACTGGAAAAACCACTTTTGTAGGCAATAGGAGGCCACTGAAAGATTTTAAGTGAAGAATATATGTTCAGATTTGCTTTTCAGACAAAAGCACTCTAGTGGCAGAACTGAATATTGAGTAGGAGGAACAAGGAGAAAAGCCTAAAGGTACAAAGACCAGTCAGCATTTTATATGTAGGATTCACTTGGAGATCAGTCTTAAGGCTACAAGATACATGAAGAAGCACGTTGGCTTTGAAGTTGTACAAATCTGGCTTAAAATTCTAAGTGTGCTACTAATGATGAACTTGGGCATGTTAGTTGACTTTGCCAAGCTCTATTTTCTTATTCTGTAAAATGGGGCTACCTACCTCACTTGATCACAATAAAAAAATACACGTAAATGGAGATTGGGTGCTGGCATAGATAGCACTTAGCAAATATAGATGTGCATCATCTTCCTTCACTTGGTCTCTTTGTGATTCGAGTTTATTATACCTCCTTGATCCTATGTAACTTAGAAAAGGGAGATTTAATTGCTTGTTGTTAATAACTTTTCTACTTGGTAATGAATAGATACATAATTATTTTTTAAAAGACTGTATTTTTTGAGCCACCTGTTAGCATGGGCCACATGCTAAGACAAGGTCAGCATCTGGCTTCTTCTTACTTTGGGATGTGCCAGCATGTCTCATAAGAGGGAGTTCAAAACAAGAGCAGCCAAAACCCAAGCACTACATGTGTCTGCCTGGCTCAGAGAGAGTGTTTCTGGCCTGCTTCAGGTTAGCAAAGCTTACATCAGTTCCACAGTTAGAAAGTCAGCAGCTAAAAACTCCACCTGTGTACAGATCTTTCAGGAGATCAAATGGTGTGAGGATTACAAAGCCTGGATTAGAAAAGCCAACTTGCAAATCCAAATTTCCCTCTATTCTTTACCATCCTGTGCCAGTAAGTTCCTCAGCTATGAATATTTATGTCCCTGTCAGAGAAAACAATCTTTATTTTAAGAGTACTGATCTGTTTTCTCCTTTTCCTGCACATTGTTTATCATCACAGTGATGACATAATGTCAGCTGAGACAAATGTCCACCATACCCAAGTGAAAGGTGCAGTGTGGCTGGAGGATATAACTGGGTGGAGAATGGAGAGGAGGAAGAGCTCAGCTAAGCATTTTAGGATCACAGGCAGTGTCTGCATTTCAGTGCATTATGCCAGAAGTCTTACAGAAACAGATACTTTCAAATTGTCTACAACAAGGTAGTCAATAAAAGCTTTCTGATAATCTCAAGGCATTTTTCATCCCTATAACCCCTGTAACAAAGAATTTATATTCTCTTATGGCTGCAGATTCCCTGGACACTACATTTACTCTTTCTAGGGCAGAATTCAGCACTGCATTCACCTCCTCAGCAATTTGAGATTCTGATGTGAGGGAGAATTCAGCAATCTTACCTTTGAACTAGGGTCCCAAAGATAAGACGAAGAAACTTCTGCATGTTTTCGGTACACAGCCATTTCCACTGTTCTGTTAGTAGCAAGAGAAGCAAATCCAGGGCTGTGTCAGCTAACTCTGTCTCTGTTCCTAAGGAACAAAACAGCATCAAGAATAACTCAGAAGAGACCTATACTTGAGGAGCATCTTTCAATGTACTGGGTGACACCTGTGTCTCTCTACCTTCATGCCAATCATCTGGTATTTTTGCAATCCCTCTATACTCAAATGAAGAGATGTTTAACTCATATCTAGCAGGTTCAGTGATAGGCTCAGCATTTCTTTGCAATTTTTATTTATGTTCCTGATACTGTCACCTAATAAATGTTTCCATGATCTTAGAAGATTTTATATATATATATAAATAAATTATATATATATATATAAATAATTATTTTGACTACTTAGTTTCTATTTCTTCTGTATTTCCCCAGGATGCTGAATACTTTCTGCTCCAAATAAGAGGTCGCAACCAGTGACTAAGTGTAACTGGCAAGGCCTCCTCTCTTTCCAACCTTGCATTCCACTCGCCCCCACAAAACATTATGGAAATGCCATGGGCAGAAGTGGAAAAAAATTTGGCCTTCACTTTCCTGAAAAACCTCCGTTACACAGAACTGTGGGGTTAGGATTCAGGAGGCTCCAGTCTGATTTTGAAATAACATGTGGTTCTAGGAAGAACACACCTCTGGTAAAATGCCATAACCATTACTAAATTCTTTCCTGCTTCAAAGACTAGAAGGGCCACAAATGAGCTTATACCCATGCTAAACTAAGGTTTCCTGAACAAACGTATTTTATGGAAGGAAGCATGTGCTGTTTAAACTGTGCTGGGCTTCTAATGTCACTTCTGATTTGCCTCCAAGTACGTAATGTTACAGAGTGGATCTGAGATAACGGGTGCTACTGCTGTGATTAACATAATAAGTAATATCAACAATGACTCTGTTAGTATAGGACCAATGGGTATTCTCTGGGTCAGCTTGCCCAAGCTCTCCTTGAACATGAATGACTTCTGATTTGGACAGGTCTATTACAACGGAGTCACACTTCCCTTTTAATGCCATCTAATAAACATTTTATTTTCTGTTTGTATTGCAAGGAGGCATTGGGAACTGATATGTTGTTTGCTTTCTAATCATCTCCTCAAAGATGGGATATTGCAGTCTTTGGGAGACAGCATCATCCTGAGCCTTAGTCCTCAACTGTGTGATTCTGTCAGGTTTAGCATTTGCCTGGAGCTGCCACCATGTGGTCACAATTAGTTATAGCAGTGAAAAATAAGAAAGCAAACAAGGTACCACCAAGTTAGTCCTCTTAAAAAAATGGTAGATTTTTTTTTTTTAATTATATGAGCATTTTGAGTCTCTCAGAGATAGAAAGTTTCAGGCCTAAATCCTCCCTCTAGAGATACAGTGTTCAACATTTACAGGGTGGACTTTGCCTAGAATGATATTCAATATTTAAGGCATCACCACACATGCATTAGAGCTGAAGCCAACAGCACAGCTAGGGTCACCCTGGAAGAGTGTGTAGAATAAGAACAGAGAGCTGAAAATCAAGCTCTGACAGGTGGTTCACGGAGCCAACAGAGTGGACTAAGAAGCTGCAAGAAAGGCATGAAGAAAACCAGGAAACCTGGACACTAAGGAAACAAAGTTTCTAAAGAAATGCAAGAGTCTGATATGCCACAGCATGCCAAAAATAAATTCAATGAGCTGTCGATATTATCAGCATGATCTCGTCCTGCTGGATTAGAACTCCGTTTGTGCCCTGCTCCACTGCTTGGCTCTGCTCTGGCAACTGTGTCCTACTCATCTCTGTGCCCAAACATAGCACCTCCAGCACTGGAGTTCAACACATGGCATGCTCAGCCGGACAGAACAGAAATTAAAGTTACCAACTCCAACTATCCCAAGCCCCAAGTGGATGCTGCCTGCCTCCCTTCTCCATGGGAGCAGAGACCTTGCCACTCACCCGGATCGCTGTTGCTGGGGTCTTGGGCTGGCACAGCTGCATCTGACAAGCAACTGTCCACATGTCCTTTGGGAAGTTGTTCTGGATCTTTTTCTGGGGCTTCTGTTGGCTGCATTTCCAGTAACTTTGTCTGTTTTTCAATAAAAGATTCCATCCCAGACATGGAGAGGGTCTCGGACTCCTAAGAAATAGCCAGTGGCATATCACATATGGAATACTGATAGTAGGGGAGCAAATGTGGCCCTCTAGGTTTCTGTGCCTCTCCCGTGAATAAGTACCTTAGGTACAGAACCCAACTGATGCTATGACTACTCTAGGAAAGATTTTAACCTAAGTTGCAAGTAAAACAGGGCTGTCCTAGGACTATTCCGAATACATTTTGGGGTCATTCATTTTTTCCAGGAACTAGTCTTCTTTCTGATCTTGTCATCCATTATCCCAAACTCACTGTGGTTGAGAAGCCAACCTGTCAACCCAGAACTGGTAGGAATTCCAAACCAATCAGAGAAAATACTTTCAGCATTAAAGTTAGAGATCCAAATGTTAATTAAGTCATTTAGCCAGACATTCTGGCTTTAGAGAATAACTCAACTGCCTATAGCTGCCGGACCAACATCTCAGCTCTTTCTGCCTCACATTCTCTGGGTTTTGGTTCTTACCACATTGCCTTCCTGGAGACAATAGAGAATCTTGTCTTGTGCTTCAGTCACACTTAGTGCTGGAGAAATTTTACTGGATGAGAACCTCAGCCTGGACCTGGTACAGAAACAAAGAACAGAAACAGAATGTAATTCATGGTCTTGAGCCCCACAAAAAGGTCTGGTAAGTACTGATAACACAGCACAACAAGAATATCCATACTTATTCTGGGGAACTTACTGTGGTCAGAGCTGCCAGGAAAGACTTGGCCCTACAATCCCCCAAAAAATGTATATTCTAGTGATTCTTAATAGATAGGGCAACTCACATACTAAGCTGTATCTACAATGCACTTGTGAAATGGCTTCTGCCAAGTAAAACTGACATCAGTCTATATCGTGGTTATATTCCCACAGAATAGAAGATTAGCTAGCACATACTAGGAACTCATTAAAAATGTGCTGAAGATGAAACAGATGGGTGGCATAGACCAAATTTTTATTGTTGCTATTCATGGTGTATTCTTTTTGGACATCCATTAATTCCCCTTGCATTCCAAATTAAACCAGAGATGGAGATGCAAGTGATAACATCAGTGTTTCAAGGGACAGAGACTCATAAGCACACGTATCATGGTCATCCTTCAAAATAAGGGCCCCGTTAAGAAAAGGTTAGGTGCTGTGAGTCTGTTATTGCTGGCCCATGAAATGTAATCACAGAGACAGAGAGTAAGACACACAACACACACACATACACACACACGCATGCGCATGCACGCACACACAGATGCTCTTTCTTTATAAGGACCCAGATATATGAAATTTCCATTAAGGGTACATGTGATGCCTTTGCTGACCACATGTTGGCTTTGAATGCTGCCAGGGAACAGCTGAGCCCTAGTGCAGGGGAGAGTAACGGTAGTCAACCAGTTACTAAAATAGGCCCTGCAGGTTTCCATTCTATCCCTTTCCTGTTTATTGCTAATATATGCAACTTCTGAGCCAAGATTTCTAGAAATGATGGCAAACAGAGATCAGTTATAAGACTTAATTCTTACTAGGAAAGAAACATCTCTATTTCCCAGGAAAAGAGAAAAGAGAGTATCCATATGCTAGAGTCAAACATCCCTGGTCAGTTGAGCCCAGGGGTCCCATGGCAAACCCAAACATTCAGCAATGCTGTTTCTGCAGCACTGCAGGCTCCTCTGGGTGGGGCACTGAGGAGTCTGGGGTCTAGCCTTGCCTAAAAACTGGTATGCCTGACCCATCTCCTCTCTTCTAAGGCTTGAGAATAGGGTGAGCTTTGGCTGAGGATTGGGATCAATCTGAGAACTGGGGAAAGGTCCCTGGGTGACTGAGGGCTTCTCACTTGCTAGTCTTCTTGCCTTCTGTCTGGGACTTGCTTTCTGTCTCGGCCTCACTCAGCTCCTCTGTGGGACTCTGTGGTTCAGAGCGAGGAAACGCTGTCTTCAAGGTGTCCACAATGGCACTCACCACCATCTGCAGGAGTCAGAGGTACAGGGTCAGTAAGGCCATCCACATCCACAGATGGAAATCGCCAAATGAGCAGTCACCTGACCCCCCCGCCCCCCAAGCAGTTTACGCAACAGTACAAGGAGAGGGGCCAGGCTGTCTAGCAAAGCCTTACCCAGTAGGAAGGTTGAATATCAGCTAATGACTTAGTGACAACTATCTTCCTTTTCTCCACGACCATAAATGTCTTTTTCCTTGAGGAGTAAAACAAACAATGCCGTGGGAAAAGAAGCCAAAATGAATAGTGAGATATATAAAAACCTAAGAGTTCTATGGGCTGGTGATATATTTTTCAATTTTCTTTTTATATAAAAAAGTTTCCAAATTGATAATACCTTCATCAAGATGTGCATTAGTGGAAGTACATAGGTACATAGGTAGGACTATAAAGAGAAAGGAAAAGTGAAGAAGATGATCAAAAATATAAAATACAGTTTAGGGGCACAGGTAATATTAACATGGTTAGAGTAACTTACACAGAGCAAACAATCACTTTTTCTAATCAATTCAAACAATTTCTCTTCTTTAGGTACAGAAAGAATAACAAAAATCACTCAGGTCAAAACCAAGGTATTTGGAGTTGATATAAACTTCTCTACTCAAAAAGACCAAATAAAACAATCCTCATTGAAGATTAAGAGTAAGAATAGGAAAATGACATACAGGTATTTCCTGAAAAGGACACTGTGCAAACAAAACCTTAAACCTTCAAAGTAACAGAATGAAACATTTACTTTTCCTTTGGTGCTTCTTGCTAATTAACACTGCTGGCTCAGAGCAGCACCATGCCTTCTTTAACCAATTCTTGCAGTATTCCTCCATAAGGAGTAAGCTGGCATAGCCAAGTCAAGGCTGAAGTGAGTGGCCAACAGACTACAGTGAAGACTGGGGGAGAACAAACTAGGGGAAGAACACTGAGGATGCATGAATTTAGATAATGCAGCTTAGAAAATACAGCTTGTTCTCCAGGATCACAGAACTGTGGCCTGTGAGGGTAGGGAGGCCCTCATTGTCTCATTCACTGTTGTATGGACAGCAACTAGTAGAGGGCCTGGCTCAAAACAGGCATCGAGTAAGTAGATGCAGAAATGGATGAATGATATCTTCATGGAACTCTGGGCATTTACCCAGTTGATCCCTTTTTAGTTTGCAGTTTTTTCCACAGCAGTGGATATCCCCTAACACCTACTATATGAAATTCCATTTTATTTGTTGCTCCAAGCCGAGAGGAGAAGAGGGAGGCTCCTTTTCCACCAACGAGTCAGTGTTTTCCAGCCCTATAAAACACACGCCACTTTTGATAAACATAAGCCTCAGACTTCTGCCCCAGAGATGCTCATATCAGTTGGTAATCACTGCTTACAAGCGCCAACATATTACACAAATGTCTTTCTTCCACCATCTCCACAGGTGCTGAGACAACCTCTTGAAGAAGGTACAAGTCTCTTCATACTGTAACGGAGAACCATGATACCACTCTAAATCCAGCTTAGTATCCTGTCTGAGGGCTCTCTTCCTGGGTGACCCAACACTGAAAATGATCTTTATCCTCCAAAAGACCACCCTTCCTGCCAGCTATCTGTGAAGACACAGATCTATCTTCACATGCCTCCAACAGCATAACAATGTAATACCCCCAGGAGATACATGTACACTTAACAGTGTTGGGGTACTGTTTCCCAGCAGCTGTTCCCTGTGATTCAGCAAGCTGATAATTCAACCAATATTTGGCAACTGGTCTTGACAATATGAGACCATGTTCTATTCACGCCTCTGTGCTGCCCCTTCCCACACCCTATCACTCTTATTTTTCAAGCACTGCCTCCATTCCGATGGATCCTTCACATTTATAGATTGAAACTAAAGCTGAGCACAGTGGCCCTGCTGGTACCTTGTCTATTCTAGAGACCATAAACGGTTTCTTGACAAAGGCAATGCGAGCATCTGTGTTCAGAGCAAGGAACTCCTGCACCTCCTCACTGTTAGCGATCTCCGGAATGGCACAGAGTTGCTGCAAAGGTAAAACACACAAAAAAATTTTAAAGAGAGATTCCAGTCCCCAGATCTCTCCACCTTGGCTTTGGTGTTCTGGAGTTAGACACCCCAGTTAAAATGAGCACAAGGCCAAAAGAGAATGCTGACCTTTAGGAATGATTCTAGGAGGCTCTTGCGGGCTTCTACTCTGTCACTGTCCATGTTTCCAAATGGAAGATCTGGAAAGAGCTTTTTAGGACCCTTCACATCTGCAAAAAACCCCAAAATATTCACTCATTTAACATTCAGAGAGCTATTACATATAACATGTATATAAAAAAACAGAACTATTGAATATATTTCCTTGGATTAAAAAAATTTCAGGACTTCCAAATATACATATAATCCATATGATCCATAAAACACGCCAGTGGTTACAAGTGAGGGCTCTGAAGTCCAGTGACCCAAGTTTAAATCTGGGCTCAACTCCCTACTTTAACAATGATCTTCGGCAATTTGTGTTATCTTTCTGACTTTGTTTCTCTTCTATTAGATGAGGATAACGGTAGTACCTATCTCATAGGCTGAGGGGGCATCAAAAGAGCTAACGTGTAAAGTGCTTAGAAGAGAACCTGGCACGTATTTTCAAGGTTGGCTCAGTGTTAGCTATTAAGAAAGAAAATGTATAATTTATGCCCAAACTTATTAAACTGTTTATTTTGGCAATCATCACCATTTTTAAAAAACGAAGTAACCAGTTACTAGCTCATTCTTAGAGTAAAACTTTATTACATTAAAAAAAAAAAATTCCCCGTGCCTGAGAGTTGTCAAACAGCACACAAAAGATCTGGTTGTTAAATGAAAGAAGGTGGCAACAACTTCCGGGTAATATTTTATATTAAGAACCACCAATCTATGAATCTGAAAAAGTTAATTTAACTCCTCACACTAACAGGCACAGGTGGAAATGTGAACACTTCTTTTTTAATCTTAAACTAGCTGGGGCTGCAGAACAAAGCATTAGGCAGTAAAGGACTACCTTTGAAAGAATGTGATCGCTGCTGTCCAGCACTAAACCTCAAAACTCCTGAAGCAAACCCAGGGAGCAGAGAACCTTGAAACTGCATTCTCCTCCCTGAACCCTCCCATAAACCAACAGGCCAGTCAGGTGGCTCGACATGGGAAGCAAGCAGGGAAAATTCATGACTTTTGATGAACTTGCGTAGATCTGGTTTCTCCTCCAGACGGGTCTGCAGATTCAAGAACTCCCGATAGCGGCGATTCACAGTGTGGTAGGCCAGCTGCTGCAGGCTGCTGCTGTTTTCACCGTCAAGGGCTGTCTCGTACTGTCCAATGAACAAAGTGATTGACTGAATCAGCCGGGTTTCAACAATCTTCTATTCTCGTTTTACTAATTGTTCAATGGCCATATAGTAAGAGTAAGAAACTTAGAACAAAGGGAGGGAGATGCTCCTATTCTGTTCCAGAACCTCCTATATTTAACTGCTCAAAAAGTCAGAAACGAGTTCCACTGCTCCATACTAACACTTTCATCTGAAAGCTCCCTCTCCCAGATACTTTATTTACTCACAAAATGGCCACGTAACTATTTTTCAAAGCCATATTTGAATAGAAGGCATAATATCCATAAAAATGATACTTCCTATATCACCTCTAAATTATAGGATAAACATTATAAGGGGAAAACCATTTTGCCATTATGCTCCCCATGATTATTTATATTAGTTAAAGGAAGAACAAATAATCCAAACAGCAGACAAAAATCATTTGTTTATCTGGAATAAACTAAAGGGTATTTGTGTCAGGCAGACTAATTTTCCTAACTGTTATTCTTAGAGCTAAACTGAATTTTTTCCCTAAGTCCCTATCATCTGTATCATTAGAAGTCACATGAAAAATGGAGATGCTATAAGGAGTCAAAGTCCACTGTCTTCATAAGCTCAGAGGGCTGGTATGCGGAAAAGATGACTTATACCTCATGTTCCCCAAAGAGTGAACACCATGGATAGCAGGGAAACTGCAGCTCACTGAGGGGGCACACTTTTTGACAGAGTAGTTAAGACACAATGAAATGCTGTGGGAGAAGTATATACGTGCACCTTCGCATTAGGAACAGGTTTTTCATTGAGGTATACTGTGGGCAAGGGATGGAAAATACTACCTCCTTGTTGGTGGGACTTGTGGCTGGTGCTTTACAATGTTTTGGAGACAGATAGGGTGTTCATTATGAGCTGATGTGAGCAAAGTAGTCCCTCAGAACAGTACTGAGGAGGAAATACCAGGTAAGAGACAGGTGGAATTCAGGGTGGGGTTCTCAATGGCCATAAAGTAAGTGTAAGAAACTAAGAACAAAGGGAGGGAGCATTTGGGAACGATGAAAGTTTCTGCGGAATATGTTGCTCCTTGAGGGCCAATTTTCAATACTGTTAGGGTTCCTTCCATCATATAAACTGAAAATTATTTACCATCAGAAAGTATAATATTAATATACAACTTAAAATCAGTTCTATGTCCATATAAAAATCTAAACCCAATTTCAAACTACTCATAATTGGCTATATAATTTTGTTCTCATTTTTTACTTTACCCTTTCTATTGAATATTGAACTATCAATATTAATGTAGCAGCAGATGCCAAAATCTAGCAGCAACAAAAAAGAATAAATAATGGGAGAAAGACTGTGAACTTAAAAATTCTATCCATCAACTTAATTTTTCTGCTAATGAGGAGAAAAAAACCCTGCTGTTTAATATCAGTGTTGGAATAGTCATTAAAAAAAGATGAAATAACTAGAACCCACACTTAAATGTGAGAAAGGTGCATGGTCTAGCGACACCCAGAATTTGAACAAAAAGGCCGGCAAAATGTTAACAAAGTGACACCAGTCCTTGAAGGCTATTCTCAGTTATTTTATGACCAGACATCTGCACTTCTACAACTTGCCTTAAGGAACGTGTGTGTGAGTGTGTGTGTTCACACATATACATTCCTAATTACTTCCCTTCTGACTTGAAAATGTCATGTTGAATCCTCCTTAGAAATTCTCGGATGGAAGACATCAGTCTGTCAGAATCTGTACATATAAAGAGCAGCTCAGGTGATTCTGAGGTATAGCCAAGTTTGGGAACCACTGAAAATATAACCCTCAGCATTCTAGCAGCCCTGAGGTTCCAGGATTGTGTGAGTACAGAATAAATGCTACTCTGCCTTACATATTAGCTTCAGACCATTCAGAGATAGATACCTATGGAAAGAAACACTTCAAACTAAGAGCATCCCTTCCCCAAGAATATTTGCTTCACTGACTGCTTTCCAAACCCACTCCTAGCCCAGATGAGCACCCACAGCTTTAATCCTGTTACCTTCACAGTATAGAGTGTGTATGGGTGGAATCCGGTGCCACTGTGCTCTCGGGCTGTAATAGTGCCAGTGATACGAAGGTTCTGGATGACAACTGGGCCATCTGGACTGCTTAAGGGCTCAAAGCTGAAGGTGGCTGAGCTGAGAGGACCAGGTGGAGAGGAGGAAAGCAGAATTGGTGGCAGACTGGGATCAAGGGAGCCCATGTCACTGGTGAGGTCCTTCTCTAAGCATGAGGGCCGTGAGAGGCAGGTCTTTTCTGGCCCCTCCAGCAAAGCTGTAACAGAGGTGGTAACATCTCCTTGTTCTATCTCTTTGTCTGCTGTGTCAATCTGGATCTCTGGGCAGGAGTTTGGTGTGGAGACTCGCAGGCCTGTCTCTGTTTCTGTCACTGGACCCTCCTCAGACTCTGCTCCTTCAGACCCCTCGCCATCTTTGGGTTCCAGAGCCCGTGAACCCTCTAGAGCACACAGGGCATCCTGAATCCTGTCAGAGAGAAAGTTGCCTGGAGTCATAAGCATGATGGTTTCTTTGCCCAGTTCAGACAGCGGAGACTCCAGCTCTGAGTCTTCACATAAGAACAGGGGGCCTCGAATATTAGGCTGTAGGAAATGAGATGAGTTGTTTCCTACTTTTCTTTCTTCAGACATTCCACCCATATCTCCCTCTACAGCTTCATGACCTTCTTCAACTTCTGGGGAGGGGCCTGCAGGACCCTCTGGCTCAGTGTAACTTAGCAACACTGGGGCTGCTACTGGAGAAGAGGCTCTCCCTTCTGGAAGCTGTTCTACCTCAGCAATCAGTGGCAAAGAGGTGGGCACTGAAGGCTGTTCGGGGGTGCTGACCGAGCAGAGTGCTGGATCTCTGGCCTTGGAAAAGATACCCACAAGTACAAGGTGAATCCAGTCAGGATCTGACAGCCTACTGATCAGTGGTAAGATTACATTACACGTGATGAGTTCGACCACTACATGGCGTCCGGTACGGGTCTCCAAGTGGGGCTTGGGCACCAGACCTTGAAGCAACAAATTGACAACGCCACGTGTATAGGTGACTTCAGCACTGGGGCTGTGCACAGCAGGATGTGGGGTAGTAGCCTGGCAGTAAGCCTCCCAGAGGAGGGAAGGCTCAACTGGACCATTCTTCCCTGCAGTGGCCTCCTTTGCCTGAATGTAGCTCTGCAGGTGACAACCGCAGAGAGTCAGAACACTCTGGGCAAGAGCATGAGTGTCCATCATGCTCATCCTCCTCCGAAGCTCCTGGACCAACCCTTTCATAGCTGCCTCCATTTCCTCCTCAAAGGCTGGCTCCTGGCTCACGGAACGGTACCATGATAACACAAAATCTCGAATAACCATCTGGATGGTGCGGTTGATCTCCTGTTCCAACTGCCTTTCTGCCTCGGGGCATGGAGGACAGGTGGCCACTGGAATGAATCGTTCCAGGTGCAGTCGACCTGAAGCTGCTCCAGTGGCGCTGGAGCCCAGCCATCCTCCCAGTACCACTAGCAATGCAGACAGAAGGCACAGCAGCCACACATTGACCAGAAGATGTAAGACCAGGAGCCAGCCAAGCAAGACCCCCACAGCCATCAGCTTCCGGCTACTCAAGAGGTTACTGAGGTGGCAGCTGGTTCCAGCTGGAGTCTCCTGGAACGGTGGCACTATTTCTGTCTTCATGGTTGAACAAACAAGGTGGCTTCCCAAGATGACAGCCAAGATTTTACTTCAGAGTTTGGAAGGGGGGCATGAACTGTGTCTCAGATACGGGGCGATCTGGGTGCTGCTCAGGGAACCGGGGCTCCGAGCCCTCGAAGTCCTACACGCACTGCAAAGCGACAGCGGCAGCTCCGTGTCTACCCATGTCTACCACTAACAGAGCCCTGGAACTCGCCCCTTCCAGCCGAGGTGTGGCTTTGGAGGAAAACTTTGCGGCCTTCATACTGCCCCATGCAGAAATCCTCTTCGCGGGCTGGGGGCGGGTGGTGCAGGACCCTGGGGCCAACAAACACTTACACACGCAGAGGGCGGCGGCCGGCCGGGACTGGGTCACATGCCACCGGGAACCGCGTGCCCACACTCAGCCCCGACCTGAAATGGGCTCATCGGGGTCCTCTCCGCTGGCCTCGGCCCGCCGCCGCCGCCGCCGCCGCCGCCGCCGCAAACCTGGGCGACAACGCTCCGCAACCCACCCGGTATTAAGGCTGCCTGCCGGCCGGCCGCCGGCAACAGCTTCCGGGTCGAGGTTGACGGGAGCGAGGCATGCTGGGAGGACGGCCGCGCGCGCCCCGAGGAGTGGTGCTGCCCGGCGCCCTCTGCTGGCGAGGAGCCGCCCTGACTGCACCTGCGCTAGGTAGGCTCCGAGCCTGAGCCTTAGCCTGAGCGCTCATAGGGCGCGTGCTCGCCAAGGGCGGGCGCCGCTTCCCGAAGTGCTGGGAAACAGAGCAGCCTGCGATAATCACCGCAAAGACCTGTACTTCCAGATGCCTTAAAACGCATCCCAGCTCTGGTTATTAAATGGAGCCTGTTTCTTACTGCTTAGGCACACTGTCAATAATCCGGTTTATTTCAATCCCATGGAGGCGTAGTTTCATTGGCCTGATATGTCTTAACATTCACCCCTTTTCCCCTGGAGCCGGTACACAGCCTACCTCATTTGTTGTCAGGAATTGCAAAATATAAGGCATAAAACAATACGGAGATAGATTTATGTTTTAAATTTTACATACTGTACCACAAAATCAAATTTGCTGGTGGCTTTACGGAAACAATCAAATATTTTGGGCATCTGCTATCTTCAATGTGAGAGGCAGAGTGCACGAATAGAAGCAGACCTTGTCCTCCAGGATCTCATGCTAATTGGGGAGGCCAGCGCTTTGAACACCATTGGCTCTCTAATAATGTCACTCAGCACGTGATATAGTACAAGACAAAATCTTATAGGAATTCAGGGGAAGGGAAGATCACGGTGGGTTGCAACGGTTAAGGAGAGGCTCACAGAGATGGTGCCTTTATGCTGAGTCTTCAAGGATGAGGGTTTCCAGGCACCTCCATCTCTTCTCACCGTATCCTCCCCAAAAACATAGGAAGAGAAGGCAGAGGTAGAGGTGTCCTTTCAGATAATCCTGTAATACATTTGCTTTGGAATATGCTCTATGTTGGATTGTTTTTGGTTTTAGCAAGTTTGACTTCAGGTGTCTATGCAGTAACCTATAGGAAGACAAAATATTGGAAGCACTGACCTGGTTTAAAAAGTGTTGGTGTCAGTTTTGTGTGAAACCAGCATCCATATCTGGAAGCACTGACCTGGTTTAAAAAGTGTTGGTGTCAGTTTTGTGTGAAACCAGCATCCATATCCACCTTGGGCCCTGGGAGCTGTGCCTGCAGTGTGGCTCTCCTTTCTGCTTTGGCTGAGGATGTGCATCATTTGCACAGAACTGTTCATGGTTGCCCTTCATCCACCTTCTCTGTGCTGTAAGCAGTCTTTGATCATCATGGACTACTCCCTAGATATTTAAAGGAATCTTCAAGCAAACCCCAACCCAAAACTGTGCCAACAAGAAGTGCATTGCAGCGTTCCCTCCCATGCATTGCTACTGTTAAGATAGAGACTTCCTTTGTATACAAAAGAAGATGTCATTTAGATGTGACCCATAGTTTATGATTAATTACTTTTAAAGCAAATGGTTTGATTTAGGTTCGGTGTCCGCTAAGCAAACTGGGCACTCCCCTGAGATGGCAGAACGTAAGTCCGTGTTTCCATGGTCCATACCTTTTCATGCTACCTGCCTTCCCACAGAAAAGGAACCCGAGAAGTGGGTTCTGCCCCTCTGTACCTTCTGAGACAATTGTAATGTGCCCAGGAGCACTTAGAAAATGGCAACAATGCTCTGGAGAAATGTCCCTGTCACCTAGTTGGGAGCTAAAACAGAAATGTGAATGATGAAAGGACTACCGATGGTTAGTCCTGAAGACTTCCTGTGGCAGTTCAAAGGGAAAGTTTACTTGGCAGCAGGATCCGTAGTGTTCAGGACAGTAAGGAAGTGACCTTGCAAGTGGGCGCTATGCCACCTGACCAGATGGTCTGGAGCATCAAGGTAGCCAAGAGTGCCTTCCTGATTCTGAAGCGGGTTTGATGGACATGCCTATGCACTTGTCATTTGGACGGGTGTGAGCTCCTGCCTGGGGGTCTGGGCAGGCCTCGGTCTCTAAACAGATTAATCACCGGGAGGAGGTGAGAGTCAGGACTGATGTGCCCTGGTGTGTGTATGTGGAGTGGGGAGGCTTGGCCACACCACTCACCATCTGGAGACGTCCTTCCTTCTTTCTTTTTTCTCATTTCTCAAAATATTAAAGGCATAGTGCTAGAGTGTTGGGGCAAACAAGACAAATAAGATACAATAATTCTTCTCAAGGGACTCTCAGTCTTGTTAAAGGAGAGAAACATAAATAGATAAATGTAATGAAACATGATCATGTGTGTAATGTGATGTGTTGTAATAGAAGTGCATATAATAAAATCAGAACACAGAGGAGGCGGTCAGCTGTGGAAGGGGGCGGTTCATAGTTTTCCCTCAGTTGGGAAATGAAAAAGAAGTGAATAAATTTTAAGAAATGTAGGGTAGTGAGAGCAGGGGAAAGAGAGGGAAGGTCTTTCAGGTAGAGGCCCACATGTGAGAAATCGGCAGGGACTTTGAGAGTAAGGGGCCTGCGACACAGGGCCTGCTGCAGCCAGCCCACACCCCACTTCAGTTTTCTCCCAAAAGAGAAGACCAGGTGGTTTCCTAAAAAGAAGCACATTGATGGGGCAGGTGAGTGAGAAGTTGCTGCTTCTTTCTAAAAAGAAGCTCACTGATGGGGCAGCTGAGTGAGAGTGGTATGGAGGTATTGCTGTGGGCTATAAAAAGGGAACTGTTGAGGCTCAGGTAAAATGGCAAAGCAGATAAAATGACAAAGAAGTTAACATGTACAGGGAAACTCCTCTTTACAAGACCATCAGATCTTGTGAGAGTTATTCACTATCATGAGAACAGCATGGGAAAGACTTGCCCCATGATTCAATTACCTTCCACTGGGTCACTCCTACAACATGTGAGAATTCAAGATGAGGTGTGGGTGGGGACACAGCCAAACCATATCAAGTGTCCTCAGTACAAGAGAGAAGCAAGCAGGAGATATTGGGATAGATGAAGTGAAAGGAGAAAGGGTTAGGACCTTGACATCCTGGGAAGAGAGTGGTTGCGGTGGAAAATCATGGTGTCTAGGAATCTGGGAAGGGAAACGAAGTCAGGACAGAGAGAAACAACTGTTGGGAGAAGATGAGCTATACTGGGAGCAAGTGAGTAAGAGCCAGAAGGAAAAGGCCTGTGGTTCAAGATTGGTCCATCAGAGCCTGTATTTGTTCTTACAGCTGCTCTTCCAAATTACCATCAACTTAGCAGCCTGCAGCACACATTTATTTTCTTACAGTTCTGAAAGTCAGGAGTCTAAAATGGATGAGAGGGCTTGTTCCTGTTGGAGGCTCTAATATAGAATCTCTTTTTTTGTCCTTTCAAGCTTCTGCAGGCTGCCTTTGTTCTTCAGCTCATGGCCCCACGTGCTCCAACCTCTACTTCTATGGTTACACCTCTTTCTCCCACCTTGACCCTCCAGCCTTCTTTTTAGAAAGGCCCGTGACTGGCCAGGTGCCATGACTCATGTCTGTAATCCCAGCACTTTGGGAGGCTAAGAAGGGAGGATCACAAGGTCAGGAGATCGAGATTATCCTAGTAAACATGGCGAAACCCTGTCTCTACTAAAAATACAAAAATTAGCTGGGCATGTTGGTAGGCACCTGTAGTTCTAGCTACTTAGGAGGCTGACGCAAGAGAATCACTTGAACCCATGAGGAGAATGTTGCAGTGAACCAAGACTGTGCCACTGAACTCCAGCCTGGTGACAGAGCAAGCTAGAAAAAAAATAAAATAAAATAAAAAGAAGGGCCCTGTGATTACCTTCAGCCTTCCCCACTTATCTAGGAGAATCTTCCTTTTTCAAGATCCTTAACTGAGTTATAATCTTTGTCTCATTTGCCAAGTAAAACAACATACCCACAGGTTCTAGGGGTCCGGATGTGAACATATTTGGTGGAAGGGGGCATTATGTGACCTTCTACAGCGCCTATGTACCTAAAGATGAATATATTTTGTGATGATAAAGTCTGGGTGTAGCCAGATGAGTTTCTGAAGTAAGATGTGGATAATCTAGGGCTAGGGTTGAAGGAGACATTTTGAGTCTATGTTTTGGAGAAGGATGATCTACATGGGCGTGGAAGTCACTAATGTTAGGATCTTGGTACAAAAGTTCTCGATAAAAGAGAAGAATGATCAGGAAGTTGGAAGATGATGTAATACAAGGAGTGATATGGTTTGGCTCTGTGTCCCCACCCAAATCTCATGTGGCACTGTGACCCTGAGTGATGGAGGTGGGGTCTGGTGGGAAGTGATTGGATCATGGGGTTGGTTTCTAATGGTTTAGCATCATCCCCCTAGTGCTGTCTTTTGATGAAGTTCTCAGGAGATCTGGTTGTTGAAAAGTGTGTAGCGCCTCCCCCTTCACTCTCGGTCTCCTGTTGCCTTGTGAAGACATGCTGGCTTCCCCTTTGCCTTCTGCCATGATTGTAAGTTCCCTGAGGTGTCCCCAGCCATGCTGAACTGTGAGTCAATGAAATATTTTTTTCTTCATAAATTACCCAGTCTCAGGTAATTCTTTATAGCAATGTGAGAACAGACTAATACAAGGAGTAAAGAAAGTATGGTGTTACCAAAATAAAAGAATCATCTGAAAGCATCCATGAGGAATTAGGATATTGCCAGGAGCATCTCCACATCCTGCCTGAGGTGCAGTGATGGAGAAAAATAGCCACCAGAGGGCAGCAGAAAGTATGGCATCTTAAGGAGAAACTATCTTTCATTCACCTGTCATTCTCATGTCTATCCATTCAGCGCACAAAGATTAAGCCAGATATTAGAAATTTAAAAATGGACTTTCTGTAGTTTCTCTTCTTGAAGAATTCACAATCTAGTGCAAGAGACAGATATTGACACGATGTAAAAAGTGCTATAATCAAAATATTGTCAAAATATGGGAAGGCAAAAATTAGGAAAAATTGCACAGAAGAGATGACATTTGAACTGGCCTTAAAGGATAGGTTGAATTTCCCGTAAAGACAAGAGTAACAGGTTATACTAGGAATAAAGGAA